ACCCACACTACCTGAGCCGCACACTCACTGCAGCTCCCCACACTTCCTATAACACGCACTACCTGAGCAGCACGCTCACTGCAGCTCCCCACACCTCTTATAACGCACACTACCTGAGCAGCACGCTCACTGCAGCTCCCCACACCTCCCATAACCCACACTACCTGAGCAGCATGCTCACTGCAGCTTCCTACACCTCCTATAACCCACACTACCTGAGCAGCAGGCTCACTGCAGCTCCCCACACTTCCCCACACCTCCTATAACACACACTACCTGAGCAGCAGGCTCACCGCACCTCTCCACACCTCCTATAACACACACTACCTGAGCAGCACATCACTGCAACTCCCCACACCTCCTATAACGCACACTACCTGAGCAGCATGCTCACTGCAGCTCCCCACACCTCCTATAACACACACTACCTGAGCAGCATGCTCACTGCAGCTCCCCACACCTCCTATAACACATACTACCTGAGCAGCATGCTCACTGCAGCTCCCCACACCTCCTAGAAACCCACACTACCTGAGCAGCATGCTCACTGCAGCTCCCCACCTATAACCCACACTACCTGAGCAGCACGATCACTGCAGCTCCCCACACCTCCTATAACCCACACTACCTGAGCAGCACACTCACTGCAGCTCCCCACACTTCCCCACACATCCTATAACACACACTACCTGAGCAGCACGCTCACTGCAGCTCCCCACACCTCCTATAACACACACTACCTGAGCAACATGCTCACTGCAGCTCCCCACACCTCCTAAAACACACACTACCGGAGCAGCACGCTTACTGCAGCTTCCCACACCTCCTATAAACCACACTACCTGAACAGCACACTCACTGCAGCTCCCCATACCTCCTATAACTCACACTGCCTTAGCAACACACTCACTGCAGCTCCCCACACCTCCTATAACCCACACTACCTGAGCAACACACTCACTGCAGCTCCTGACACCTCCAATAACACACACTGCCTGAGCAGCACGCTCACTGCAGCTCCCCACACCTCCTATAACACACTCTACCTGAGCAGCACGCTCACTGCAGCTCCCCACACCTCCTATAACACACACTACCTGAGTAGCGGTACAAAGCTTAAGTTGTTATGCTAGGAAATCCTGGCCACTCTGGCTTTTTCCTTCCAACCAAGTTTCCAGTTTCTAAGAGGAAGCCAGGGGCTGTCTGAGAGGATGAGAACATTAGCTGACACTCTTAGCACTAACCTCTTATTGAGTAAACTGCATTAAAACATCACCTTTTCGTCTCTGTTAATTTTAGTTTTTGAGTTACTTTTTATCAAATATACCTTTTCTAAAAGGTGGTACTTTTCTCTCGCAGTTTTCTTAATCGGAAGCTAGTGATAGCCTTAAAGTGTCAGCTGACGGTCTAACCAGTACACAGTTTGAGGCTTTGTTACTGAGGCAAAGGACTTCACTGGAAGAATTGGGGACAAAAATTTAATCTTTTTCTTGCATTTGAGATTCCGTAAAAAAATCTGTCCGTTTTGAAATCTGTAATGCATCGCTGATGTTCCCCGAGAAGATTTTAAAATTAGAGAAACACAAATTTATCTCTCATTATTAAAGCGGCACTGTCGTGCTGAACTTACCTTTCCTCAATCTCTTCCTCTTCTCCCCCTCTCTCAGGATCTGTTCTTCTTTTCTTCCTGTCTTCTTTAGTTTAAAATCATAAGACAAAGTAGTGACTCTTTGCCTTAAGGAGGTCTCCTCCGCTTGACCATCTCTGACCAAACGGAGGAGCAAAGTGTTCTTCATTTCCGCTGGTCAGAGCAATTTTCCCATGATCCTTACCTTTCCTCTGTGTTCCCGCGATGCTTCCTGTCATTTTAGACGAAACTGTCGAATTGCGTTCTAACTGAATGAGAACAGTATGTTCGTTTCTTTTAGAACTCAGTTCGGCACTTTATTCGTGTCGGAATTTCATTAGAATGAATGAAACTCCGATCCTATTCGTGCTGTGGCTGCATCTTGCAGCCGCTTAGTAGATAACTCCCTAATTCCCACGGTATCAGGAAGTTATCTACTAAAAGGCTGAAAGACCTAAATTGGTCTTTCAGCCACATTTACTAATACTAAGTAAAAATTACTTAGTATTAGTAAATGCTGCCCCTACTCGCTATACCGCCACAGGCTGCTCACTGTAAAAATAAATAAAAACCTATCGGCCCTAAAGTAAAATAAGGGGGAAGACCTATTGTCCCCCCCCCGGCCCTCCCCCCGTGCGGTGGGTGTGGGTCATAATGATAATGAGGGGGGGGACCTACTGTCCTCCCCCCTGGCCCCCACCCCTTGGCGGCAGGAGGGGGCCCTAAGTCAAATTCCCCCCCCCCATTAAAGGTGACTAGGGGTCCCCAAGCACCTAGTCACCCACCCCCCCACCGAAATAAAAAATCCCCTTCCTACCCCCCTCACCCTAAAAAATAGTGAGGGGGGAATAAAATTACTAATCCCCTGGCCCCCACACCTGGGCGGCAGATGGGGGCCATAATGATAATGAGGGGGGAACCTACTGTCCTCCCCCCTCCAACCCCCACCCCTGGGCATTGGGTGGGTGCCATAATGATAATGTGGGGGGGACCTACTGTCCTCCCCCCCAAAACCCCCACCCCTGGATGGCTGGTGGGGTGCAAATGATAATGGGGGGGACCTACTGTCCTCCCTCCCCAACCCCCATCCCTGGGCGGCAGGTGGGGGCCATAATTATAATGGGGGGAACTACTGTCCTCCCCACTACTGGGCGGCGGGTGTGGGCCAAATGATAATGGGTGGGTACCTACTGTCCTCCCCTGCCCCCACCCCTGGGCGGCGGGTGGGGGCCATAAAGATAATGAGGGGGGACCTACTGTCCTCCCCTCCCGGCCACCCACCCCTGGGCGGCGGGTGGGGGCACTAAGTCAAATTCCACCCCCCCATCAAAGGTGACTAGGGGTCCCCAAGCCCCTAGTCATCCACCCCCCCACCCAAATAAAAAGTACCCTACCTACCCCCCTCACCCTAAAAAATAGTGAGGGGGGAATACAATTACTAACCTGTAAAGTAAAATTATACTTACCATTCGACGTCTTCTTTTTTCTAAAATCTTCATTTTTCAGCCTTCAAAAAGGCCAAATAAAAAACCATCATATCAGTCGAACTTAAAATAAAATCCGGAGTGGGGGGTAGGAAGGGGATTTTTTATTTAGGTGGGGGGATGGGTGGGTGACTAGGGGCTTGGGGACCCCTAGTCACCTTTAATGGGAGGGGGATTTGACTTCGGGCCCCCACCCGCCACCCATGGGTGGGGGCTGGGGGGGAGGACAGTAGGTCCCCCCTCATTATCTTTATGGCCCAGACCCGCCACCCAGAGGTGGGGGCCGGTGGGGAGGACAGTAGGTCTCCCCCATTATCATTTGGCCCCCACCCGCCGCCCAAGGGTGGGTTGCCTGTGTGGGAGGACAGTAGGTCCCCCCCTCATTATCATTATGGCCCCCACCCGCCGCCCAGGGGTGGGGTGCTGGGGGAGGACAGTAGGTCCTCCTCCTCATTATCATTATGGCCCCCACCCGCCTCCCTTGGGTGGGGATCTAGGGGGGAGGACAGTGGGTCCCCCCCTCTTTATCATCAAGGCCCACACCCGCCGCCCAGGGGTGGAGGCCGGGGGGAGGGAGGACAGTAGGTCCCCCCCTCTTTATCATCATGGCCCCCACCTGCTGCCCAGGGGTGGGGGCGGGGGGAGAACAGTAGGTCCTCCCCCCTCATTATCATCATGGCCCCCACCCGCTGCTCATGGGTGGGGGCTGGGGGTGAGGACAGTAGGTCCCCATCGCCCCCATTGTAATTTATGGCCCCCACCCACCGCTCAGCGGTATAGCGAGTAGGGGCATTGGGGAGATTTTATTCTCCTTTATGCTATTATGGGGGTCATATTAACCCCCATATCGTGAGGGGGGGACCTGGGATCCTTATGAAGTGGCGGGGAGCACTGCCCTCTGCCGCTTCTATCTTTACATATTACAAAGAGGGAGATATGTGCCGGTAGCTCCCTCCTTGTAATAAACTGCACTGCACTATTCAGTGTTTGTTTGTTCGTCTGACATTTCTATTCATTCATTCGTCTTTCTGATGAATGAATGAATAGATGAAATTCCCGTTCGCATGTCCAGGTGTTTAACTGGGCATGTGCGGGAATTTCAAAGTCTATCTATTGTGGGCAGATGAAGTGTCCCACACCTTCCTCTACCCACACAAAGATGGCGGCGCCCTGAATAAAGATCGGGGCAGAAAATAAAGAATAATAAATAGGTAATATGGGGCATTTGGGGGTGACTAAGGGGTCAATTAGAGATAGTGGAGGCGGGAGGGGGGTTAAAAAAAAAATGGGATTTTGCATGACAGTGCCACTTTAAACACATTTTACCTAACTAACAAGGTTATCCACTAAGGTGACAATTCCAAATAAATTTACAATAGTAAAAAAAACTGGAACATCAATTGTGTAAATCAACTATTGTGTCAGTTTAACTACTCTGTGCTTAAATTGGAAATTCACTTTCAATTCTCACTTTATTAAATAACCCTGTATATATTCTATTCTCTAATTTATTTATTATCTCAAATCTGTTATTTTAGGAAAAACAAAATCCAATGACAGACTTCCACATGAAAAACCTGCTGATGACTGTTCTGAACCTTTTCTTTGGTGGGACTGAAACTGTGAGCACCACTCTACGGCACGGGTTCCTCATACTTCTAAAATATCCCGAGATAGAAGGTGCAAACCAAAATGAGCCTTCACTGGGAGATTTAATTCAAGGACATTAATACATCTAAGACGTTTCAGTGAAAAAAAAACTCAAATGAGAATTACCAACTAGTGTTATCATTCGACAGTAGAGTATAAGTTCCACAATCACTCACAGGTTTGGAAATAAAACAACCTTTACTTGTTGCTTTACAGCCAAGTTGCATGAAGAAATAGACCATGTGATTGGACAGAACCGCAGCCCAACCATGGAGGATCGGAGCCAAATGCCGTATACCGATGCTGTGATCCATGAAATCCAGAGATTTAGTGATGTTTTCCCGATTAATGTTCCTCACTCGGTCACACAAGATACTAAGTTCAGAGGATACGATATACCCAAGGTATGGAGAGAAAAACACTCGACCGTCTATAGAATGTCAGATTATTACTTTCATCATAGATAATTGTATTTACACATTATACTACCTACTCAAACTTTCCACTCATCCTCTAACCATTGGGGAATGAATATTATTAAGTTCTAGAGAGTAGTATTTTACCCCTGCATTAATGTGCATTAGACCTCCAGAGTAAGAGTAGCAAGTAAACTTTTGGATCTGTCTGTAGAGCAGGACTTGACATTTTGAGATTTAAACTCTAGTAAACGTCTGTACTTATATAGTGAAGGTATTTACCCATCTCTGAATCCAGCCAAGTAAGACATTGTAACTGCACACACATTCCAGGCATGTTCGTTGGTATATTAGCTACCTTGGCAAACACTGTGTTTACAGAAAATTATTTGTGAATTGAACAGGTTTCATCATGCCATCCCACCCTTAAAATATTTTAATATTTCAACTATTTGTGTTGGTATTTGCAAATTATAAATCAAAGTCAAACAGCAGCATCTGAGGAGATGCACTTAGAATTCTGCGTAAAGTCAATTCGCACACGCAAGAACATTTTTGTTTTGTATTTGTGTGAATATAACAGCACTGATAGAACTAATGAGAAGAAAACTCAAAACAAATGAGGGCAAATGATGGTTGCACCAACTCTAACAATTGTCCACAAAAATTTGACTGTGCATTAACTTATTCCCACCTCCTCGATATTAATGCAACGAGTAACTATGTATATGTCTGCTCAAAATTCTAAATACACATAGGTGAAAGTTTATATTTAAAGATCAGTCTGGGCACCTGCCAATAATATCCTCAAGGCTGACTTAGTATTTTATTCATCTTATATGATTATATTTTTCCCACAGCATGTCCCTGTTCACAGTATTTATTATTTTTCTCCTCTCTTATCATCCATCCCACCCCAACAGGGCACTGACGTTTACCCATTACTTTGTACCGTTCTTCGAGACCCCAAACAGTTCGCCACTCCCAACAAGTTCAACCCGAACCACTTTCTGGATGAACGTGGGCACTTCAAGAACAACGAGGCTTCCATGCCATTCTCTACAGGTAACGGCCAAATAATGTAACTACATAATAATAAAATAAATAGTATAAAATAATAATACTTACATTATAAGAACATAAAAACATAAGACTTTAACTTTTATTATCAACTCCATATCCTTCCAAAAGGTTACACCAGCAATAACACAAAACATAATGTCAATATGTACATAGAATAATTAAATAACAAGATTAAACAAGACTTTGAATACACACGATATGCTAAGCTCTTCACTACAAACTAGAGTATTAAACTCAGAGAATTGTAATATGAAAAATTGATTTGAAAGCAAATATTATTGTCAACATTTTGTGCACTTTCTAAAGAAAAAAACATATACACCAGAAAGATAAATTATATTGTCAATTGTGTGATAGAATAACAAGCAAGATTTTAAAAATAATGCTTTGATTTTCACGACCTTAATATTAGTTTAAAGGACCACTATAGTGCCAGGAAAACATACTCGTTTTCCTGCCACTACAGTGCCCTGAGGGTGCCCCCACCCTCAGGGAACCCCTCCCGTCTGGCTCTGGGGAGAGGAAAGGGTTAAAATTTGCCTTTTTTTTTTCCAGCGCTGGGTGGGGATCTCTCTTCCTCCTCTCCGCCTCCGATCCTCCTCTTTGGCTGAATGCGCATGCGCGGCATGAGCTGTGCGCGCATTCAGCCAGTCTCATAGGAAAGCATTTCCAATGCTTTCCTATGGACGCTTGCGTCTTCTCACTGTGATTTTCACAGTGAGAAGCACGCAAACGCCTCTAGTGGCTGTCAATGAGACAGCCACTAGAGGATTTGGAGGCTAGATTAACCCATTTATAAACATAGCAGTTTCCCTGAAACTGCTATGTTTATATAAAAAAGGGGTTAATCCTAGAGGGACCTGGCACCCAGACCACTTCATTAAGCTGAAGTGGTCTGGGTGCCTAGAGTGGTCCTTTAAGAATACTAGGGAATGGTGCCTATCCCTTCCTCAATCCATTGGTCCAAACTCCATAATAAGACAACTAGGCGATGCACAATACCAGTCCTCATGAGGCCAGAGAGAAATCCCCATCCTTCTGTTAATGATACTGAAGGAAACTCAGTTTACCCCCCCTTACCAAAAAGAGGACACACAGATACTCAATACACTTAATTCCTATGAGTTTCGAGGTACTATTCCACCAAAACCCCCAACATTTAAATTACTCACTTCGCTCACCTCACCAGTAATAAAGATTAGGGAGGAATGGGGGGGGGGGAGGGTGGCGCAATATAAAACAAGAACACTGTAGCTAGAATATATGTCATACTTATCTATCAAAGTCTGGCTTAAAGATCTTCTATTTTCTTTTACTATACAAAAAGAATATTGTAACCTAAAGCAACTCTAATGAAAACAAAATATAAACCAATTGCAAAAAAAAAGGAATTGGGAAAATGTAAAAATGTATTCAAATTCTTGAGGGTTCAAACTTTATATAGTCATAAAACCTGACTTAATAAGATTTTATAAGGAATTCTAATGACCACATTGCCCTCTATATTCCAAATGAGAGTGGGAGGGAGGAGGGGGAGGGAAACATTGCTGGTATTTTATCTACTTCTTCTATGGGACCACAAGTTTTAAAAATATTTTTTTTTTTGGGTGTTTTTTTTCTAATTTGATTATTGTTATTGTTTTTGTAATTTTAGAACCACAGTGCATTGCTCTAGTCAATGAGTAGCACTGACAGGGTTAAATGAAACATCGCTAAATAAAAAATAGCTAAAATTAAAAATGGTTCATTGGAAGATAGACAGACAGAACAGAAACAGACAGACATTTTTTCTTCTGTGTTCAGATTATTAAATGCCCATTATTGTATTATTTTCTTTCTCCAGGGAAGCGGATCTGCCTGGGGGAGGGTTTAGCACGGATGGAGCTCTTCCTCTTCCTGACCACCATCTTGCAGAACTTCAAACTGTCCTCAAAAACACAATTCACTGAGTCTGACATCAGCCCTAAAATGAATGGATTCACAAATTACCCAGTTCCGTATCAGCTCTCATTCATTCCCCGTTAGATAAGACAGAGAAATTAAAACCGTATTAGATTTCAATAATAAAATGTCTAATTTTCTATTTTACAGAATGATTTTGAGGTATGTTAAGGTAAACCAATCTAAGCAGTGACTGGTGGTGAAATTAAGCACTTTTTTTTTTTAGATGTATTATCATATAGCATTTATATCTTGTGCTGATCATTTGTAAATCTGTTCACCAGTTTTGTTTTTTAATAAACAAAGTTTGAACAGAAAGAGTCCAAAGATTATTTTTTTGCACAGAGAGAAGTTGAAAGCTTGTTTATACACAGACTCTGATTGGCTACAACCTTCGAAAATCCATAAATCACTGAATATTTAAAAACTGTGTTGCAAATCCAGGATGAATGCCTCCACAGTAAAACACTCCCAAATGTCTGCTTAATTTAGCTTGGTTGTTTAAAAGTAATAGTGCTATATTTGTTGTCTTAATTAAGTGATTTCCTTATATATATTTTATGCTATTGGTGAGTGCGTGGTGGGTTTAAAATCCATCTGTAAGATATATATTTTTTTTTTTAACTAAAATCAGATTAAACAAATTTTACAAAATAAATTAAATAAAACAACTTCCTAGACTAACACCAGTGCCCACTTACCATTAACTCTGTCATACTAACCAACAGTACTGAGTTTGGAATGACCATCTGGAATTTTCATCCAGGATCAACCACACTCTGTAGATCATTGTGGTTCACTTTCCACCGGTGGCAGATGGTCCAACGAAGAAAAAAAGGCTACACATCAGTAACCTTTTCCTACAGATGAATCTTACCTGTAACAGTAGAAAAGAAAGCTCTTAGCACAACTCTTAGACAGTTGAAGCTTCTGTAAAACTCTCCAGAATATCTCAAATTAAACACTTAGAAACAGCACTTAGAAGTAGCAACCAAGCTATATTAGCCAAGCTAATGACACCAAGCCTTATATAACTCCTAAAATCACCACCCACTAGGAATGTTTAACACCTGGGTAGGCCTCTGCTTATTTGCAAACAAGAGCTAATTTAAACAGCAATCAATAGCAAGTAACTAGCTAATCAAATCAAATGCCTTATAATTACCAACAGGAATTCAAACCTTGTGCAATCAGTAACCTTTTCCTACAGATGAATCTTACCTGTAACAGTAGAAAAGAAAGCTCTTAGCACAACTCTTAGACAGTTGAAGCTTCTGTAAAACTCTCCAGAATATCTCCAACTACACACTTAGAAACTGCACTTAGAAGTAGCAACCAAGCTATATTAGCCAAGCTAATGACAACAAGCCCTTATATAACTCCTAAAATCACCACCCACTAGGAATGTTTAACACCTGGGTAGGCCTCTGCTTATTTGCAAACAATAGCTAATTTAAACAGCAATCAATAGCAAGTAACTAGCTAATCAAATCAAATGCCTTATAATTACCAACAGGTATTCAAACCTTGGGCAATCAGTAACCTTTTCCTACAGATGAATCTTACCTGTAACAGTAGAAAAGAAAGCTCTTAGCACAACTCTTAGACAGTTGAAGCTTCTGTAAAACTCTCCAGAATATCTCCAACTACACACTTAGAAACAGCACTTAGAAGTAGCACCAAGCTATATTAGACAAGCTAATGACACCAAGCCTTATATAACTCCTAAAATCACCACCCACTAGGAATGTTTAACACCTGGGTAGGCCTCTGCTTATTTGCAAACAAGAGCTAATTTAAACAGCAATCAATAGCAAGTAACTAGCTAATCAAATCAAATGCCTTATAATTACCAACAGGTATTCAAACCTTGGGCAATCAGTAACCTTTTCCTACAGATGAATCTTACCTGTAACAGTAGAAAAGAAAGCTCTTAGCACAACTCTTAGACAGTTGAAGCTTCTGTAAAACTCTCCAGAATATCTCCAACTACACACTTAGAAACTGCACTTGGAAGTAGCAACCAAGCTATATTAGCCAAGCTAATGACAACAGCCCTTATATAACTCCTAAAATCACCACCCACTAGGAATGTTTAACACATGGGTAGGCCTCTGCTTATTTGCAAACAATAGCTAATTTAAACAGCAATCAATAGCAAGTAATCTAATCAAATGCCTTATAATTACCAACAGGAATTCAAACCTTGTGCAATCAGTAACCTTTTCCTACAGATGAATCTTACCTGTAACAGTAGAAAAGAAAGCTCTTAGCACAACTCTTAGACAGTTGAAGCTTCTGTAAAACTCTCCAGAATATCTCCAACTACACACTTAGAAACAGCACTTAGAAGTAGCACCAAGCTATATTAGACAAGCTAATGACACCAAGCCTTATATAACTCCTAAAATCACCACCCACTAGGAATGTTTAACACCTGGGTAGGCCTCTGCTTATTTGCAAACAAGAGCTAATTTAAACAGCAATCAATAGCAAGTAACTAGCTAATCAAATCAAATGCCTTATAATTACCAACAGGTATTCAAACCTTGGGCAATCAGTAACCTTTTCCTACAGATGAATCTTACCTGTAACAGTAGAAAAGAAAGCTCTTAGCACAACTCTTAGACAGTTGAAGCTTCTGTAAAACTCTCCAGAATATCTCCAACTACACACTTAGAAACAGCACTTAGAAGTAGCACCAAGCTATATTAGACAAGCTAATGACAACAAGCCTTATATAACTCCTAAAATCACCACCCACTAGGAATGTTTAACACCTGGGTAGGCCTCTGCTTATTTGCAAACAATAGCTAATTAACTAGCAATCAATAGCAAGTAACTAGCTTAATCAAATCACATGCCTTATGATTACCAACAGGAATTCAAACCTTGTGCAATCAGTAACCTTTTCCTACAGATGAATCTTACCTGTAACAGTAGAAAAGAAAGCTCTTAGCACAACTCTTAGACAGTTGAAGCTTCTGTAAAACTCTCCAGAATATCTCCAACTACACACTTAGAAGCAACACTTAGGTGAAGCAACCAAGCTATATTAGCCAAGCTAATGACAACAAGCCTTATATAACTCCTAAAATCACCACCCACTAGGAATGTTTAACACCTGGGTAGGCCTCTACTTATTTGCAAACAA